CTGGGTGAGGCTGAGAGCAGGCAGGTCTGTGAGGGCCTCCGCGGGCTCTTCCCCGGGCTGGCCACTTCTCTTTCCCGCCAGCAGAGGGCGAGCCTCCCTGCTGCCCCCTTCCCGGGCACGTCAGTGCTGCCAGGTGGTGTGTTCACCATGCGCGTGGGGTTCTGGGATCTCAGAGCTGATCCGATCCCAGTTCCCTGATGACGATGTGCGGCACCTTTTCCCATGCTTGCCTGCCACCTGTGTGTCTTTGGTGTCTCTTCTTTTGCCCGTATTTTAATCAGGTTGTTTTCTTATTGTTGAGAGTCCTTTGTGTTTTGGACCACAGTCATCAGAGAGGTGCTCAGCAGGCACCATCTCCAGTCCATGGCTGGCCTCTTCCGCCTCTGGGCAATGTCTTTTGTAGAACAGTTTTCAACTGTTAAAGAAGAAGTGCAACTCTCACTCTTTTTCCTTTGTTTTGATGAGGTATGTAAAAACTGACAAATCCAGACTCACCCACATTTCTTTCCTTTTATCTTCTTGAAGTTCTGGGGGTTTTCACCTTCCATTCGGGGTCAAGGTTTACTAGGGTAGGTTTTGCAGATGACTTAAGGCCATCTTGCTTCGTGCTGCCTTTGCCCTTTGCCAAGCAGCGGGTGACTGCATCGGAGGGGTCTCTTTCACGACTACTCTAGTGAGTCTTTGTACTCACTTGGTCTTGCTCTGGGATTCTCTATGTCTTCTAGTTCTCTGTTGAGATGCTCCAGTTTCCCGCTTGCCCCATTATTCTTGGATTATGGCTAAGGTCTCTGATCGTAAAGTCTCTGACAATGTCACTGTGTCCCCTCTTAGTGTCTGATGAAGGTCTTTCCCCTTGTGATTATTGAGATTTTCCCAGGTTTTTATTATATTGCATGCTTTTGGATTGCATCTTGGATACTGTGAATATCTTGTTGTGAGGCTCTGGGTTCCCTTTGAATCCTAAGAAGAATGTTAATCGATGCTTGGGTTTTGCAGATGGTCAGCTTGACCAGGTTTGCACTGCCAGCCCCTTTCTCTGAACTGGGGTCCTAACTATGGTTTCCAGTGTGATGGGGCCGTGCACCCCCAGGCCTGAGAGTGGGGTGCCAACTCTGAGGGCTCCTGCTGGGCCGTTTGATGGGATCTAGGGTAGGCAGGCCCTGGAGTCCATACACGTCCTCTGGTGGCTTCCCACACACTCTGGGTGTCTCCCCAGTGCTTTCTGGCTCTTGGGGAATCCCTATTCCAATTAGAAACTGGGGTTTAGTTTCCTGGTTCTGCTGTGCACCTCGTGTAGCTGATTCTGTCTCCTAGGCCGGGGGCCAAGACAGCCGAGGAAACACAAAGGCAACGGGCACCCCTCCCTCCTGTGCTCAGCTCCCAGCCTGGGACTCGAAGAGCAGAGCAGAGAAAACATGGAGAAGCCAACAGGGTCCCTCCCCTCCCTGACAAGCAGGAGCCCTTCCCAGCTCTCGGCCAGAAGCTCTTCCTGCCTGTGGCTGACGACCATCTAGAACTGTCTTGGAGTCTAGGCCCAGAAGCACCAGGGGAAGCCAGATGTGCCCGGGGCCAGGCTTTACATCCCCCAGTGCCCTGCTCTGGGGACTGACTCCAGGGCCCCAGCTCCTGCCCGCACACGTGCTGGGAAGCCAGGTAGCTGCAGTGGCCGAGCAGGTGGAGTCTGTACTTCCTCCTTCCCGGGTCAGAAGGGCTGCTCCCATTCCACTCTGTGGCCTGCTCCTGTGGCGGGCAGCTCCTGTCCACCCACTCAGGCTGTCCTCACGCATGTGGCTATAGGTACGTTCTCTCGTGGGCCGCTTTGGGACCAGCATGAGAACTGCTTTCTTTGCAGACTCAGGGGTGAGACTTCTGGCTGATCAGAGATGTGCGACCTCATGTGGCCCCATGGTGTCGGACAGCTCTCCACACGTCCACCACGGCACATCTCTCACAGGATGCACCAGAGACCCAACGTCCTCTGGCTGTCACCAACACCAGGCATCCACCAGCTAATTCCTGCTGGCCCAAGAGGCGTGCGGTGACACGTTCTGTCACGTGCATTGGGCTGATTATTACGGTTGATGCTTCTTCCCGTTCACTTGTTGGCCTTGGGCCCCTCTTCTGTGTTCTCACTTCTGTTCTGGACCCATGTGGCGCTGCTTGTCTGTGGAAATCACCTATGGTCTGGATCATCATCTTCTCTCTGCAGAACCTTCACGCCTCACCTAACTTCCACTTTACCTACGACGTCCTTCATTAGTGGAGTCCAGCTGAGGTGCTGTCGGCTCTGGGCTCGAGTGGGACGCCTTCTTCCGCTCGGTGTGGTTTTCATCTTAACTCTGACGTAAACAAAGACACCCTTTATCTAACTCATGCTTACCAAGTCCTGGACCACCCTGTCCTAGCAGCCTTGGGAGCTGTTCTTTGTATCATTAGGCCTAGTGCCAGCTTTGGTGTGGCCCTGGACGGGCCACCACTCCGTTTTTCTGCACGTGGAGAGCCTGTGGTTTGTTCTGCCATCTTTACCATAGCCCAGGTCCCTCTGAGCTGCCGGATGCTCTGTTGGTCTGTTTTTAAGCCCAAATAGTAGTTTGCTTTTGTTCCTTCTTTTATGTTTACTACCATGACGTTTCAGCATGTCTTAAAACCTGGTATGATCCTACCAGTCGTTGCTTGATGCGTTTTGAGGCCATGATTCTTGGTGCTAATGCTCTTGCTCTTCCATTGGTCTGCACATCCACAGAACCCCACATGGCAGGACATTCTCACCTTGATGCATCTGAAAACGTATTTGGCCTTCCTGCTTGCAGGTGACCTTGCTGGGCTCGGTCCTGGGTGGTACACACCGCTCTACCCTCTCCTGCCACCTCGTCTCTGTTGGTCATGCCTGGACGGGCAGGGGCCTCTTCCTCTGTTCCCAGGATCCTTTCATGTTCTCCACAACATGCATACACGTGGGTTTCTCTTCAACTTGACAGGAGTCGTACTAACGACAACTGTGGACACAGTCTTGCACCAATTTTTGAGAATTTCTAGCAGTTTCACACCTGGCTTCCGCTGCTTCTCTCCAGCTGCGCCTGACATGCTACCCAATTCAGCCACGGAGACTCGGCAACTGTCCTCTCCTCATCTCAAAACGTCATTGCTTCCCCTCCGGGTCTGCATGGTCACTGGGAGGCTCCTCACCTTTACTCATTGCTTGGTCCCAACGAGCGTTTCATAGCTGAGGCTCCTGGGGCCTAAAACCCTTGTGGTGCCCTTGCTACTCACAGGGCTTCTGTCCTCATGCCTGGGCACCGGGAGCCAGGACAGTTCCCTCAGCCAAGCTGCCTCACGCGGGCCCATGTGGAAGTGCTGCCACTTCTGCTCCCAGCAGTGGATGCTGCTGCTATGGGGCCCTCAGGGGGCGAGGCCTGTGTCCCAACCACAGCCCCAACTTCAGCAGCAGTCCCAGGTGACCCTGGACTTTCCTGTCACTTTTCCTTGACACACTGGTGTCAGCTCACTGCATGGGGCATGTCCACGAGCCTTTATGACTCTCCAGTGGCAATACGTTGACAAGTACCTTTGCTGCCAAGCACGGTGGCACAAGCCTGTGTTCCCGGTCACTCGGGAGGCTGTAGTGGGAGGGTCATTCAGTTCAGGGCCAGCCTGGGCATAAAATAAGCAGGACTGGGGGAGTGGCTCCGGGGTAGAGTGCCAGGTTCAATCCCCAGGTCACAGGGTGGGGGGACACACTGATTGCAGTTTCCTCAAGACTGAGCTGAACTCTGGTCCCACACTGCTGAGGCTGGAAACCCGCCTGGCTCTGCCCACCCTGCACACCCAGGTGCCCTGCAGAGACCGGGTCCTTCCTCACCTCAGCCCCGCGGGCATCCAGGCAGTGTCCTGTCCTTCTTGGCCCCTGAACTCCATGCTGTCCCGCCTTTCCTCTTATCCTCTGAACCTCCTCCACAGGGACACTCTCCAGCCAACCCCACCCTCAGCCTGTCCCCCCTGCCCTGCCCCCAGTGGCCACACCACATCACGGCCTCAGCTCCCTCTGCACAGACAGTGAACTAACAGTCACCACGGCTCGACTGCCCTGGGCCAGATGCATGGTCCTCCCATTCCCACTCCCCCCTGCCCTCAGTGTCCCTGTCACCCAGCGCATAGCTGGGCGGAGGGACTGGCTGGGCACCAGAGGGCAACGACTGTGGGAGGGGCCTCAGACCTCTGCCCTGGGCTGCTAGAAGAGCTTCTCATAGTCCAGGCCCACAGGTGCAGGGCCCGGGCACGTCTTCAGCCTCCCCCGGCCTGAGCCTCCCTTTCTGGTGCCTCTGAGGTTGAGCCTGGGCACTACCTTTCCCAAGAACTCCCCTCCTGGGTGATTCCTGAATGTCTGAGATCCTTCTGGAGGGCAGAGGCCGCCCCAGGACAGCAGCCCATCTGGGGCCCCATCCCCACCACTGTCACTGCACTGGCTGGCGGTGACGAGGAGCCCAAAGCGCCAGGACTGCTCAGGGTCCCTGTGCCTGGTGTGGGCAGAGGTGGTTTAGGCTTGGGGAAGGTCAGAGCTTTACAGAGGGAGGAGTGGGCGTCCACGCTGGGAGCCAGAGAGCAAAGACAGCAGCCAAGCTGCGGGGACGGGGTGTCCCTGAAGGCTGTGCTGGCTCAGCAAGAGTGAGGGCGCAGAGCTGGGCCACCAGAGAGGGCAACGGCTGCAGGCTCCAGTGGGCGCTGGCAGGACGGACACGGACCAGGAGTGGACCTAGACAACTCTGCTTGAGCTGGGGAGTGGCGAGAGGGGGCAGGCGGGCTGAGGACGGGCAAGGGGAGGAAAGGGCTGGCACAGATGACCCAGTCCTGGGCTCATGCTCCCCCACATCACGCCCCGAAGGACAGGCATGGCAAGGCCATTGCATTCCACAGTCCCCAGTGGCGACCGCGGAGGGACAGTCTGGCCCAGGCCAGGACCTGCAATGCCTGGGGCCCGGGGCCTGCAAAGCCTGAGGCCCGAACCTGCTGTCAGCATTTAATAGAGAGAGAACTCAACAAGGACCAGGACGGGGCGAGCCTGGTGGCGGCTGAGGCCTGTGGTCAGGTCACATAGTGGGACAGTTCCATGACGTCTCCCATGAAGTTCAGGTAGAACCTGCGGCACATGGAGTCCGGGTCCTCCCTGAGGGTCTTCAAGCCTGTGGCAGAGACCCTGTGTCTGACTCTGAAGCTGTGTCTCCAGGGGTCCCAGTCGGCCACCCGAGGCCCTGTGCTGCCCAGCCCTGGGGCATGGGGTGTGGCTCACTTTTCTTGAGGGTTTTTATGTCACCCTTCTTCAGGTAGAAGCAGAGGTCAGCGAAGTAGTCCTGAAGCATTCCCCCTGGGACAGGCAGGGGGTGGGCAGTGTCACCGGATACCAGCCTGCACCCACCTGCAGGCTCCGGCAGGGGGCGGCCAGGGTGCAGGCGGGCGCCTACCGATGAACCTCATGGCGGCCAGTTTCAGGTTCCTGTGGGGGCTGTGCAGGTAGGTCAGGGCCTGCATGAGAAACTGGTGGTAGTTGCCAAAGTTGCTCTCTATCTGGGGGAAGAGGAGTGGCTGGTGGCCAAGCTGGGCCCAGGTGGCACCTGGCCTCTGTGGCCCAGTTCTGTCTGAGGCCCCCATGGCAGTTCCAGCCAGGGAGTAAAGGGCGATCACCTGCGACCCTCAGGTGGCAGGAGGGAACCAGAGCTGAGACCCCCCGCAGGCCCAGCTCCTCCGCCCAATCCCACCTCAGGTGTCAGAGGATTGGGACCAGCCTCATCTAGGGCCCCTTCCAAAGCTCACCCCGGGCATCCTCCAGAAGGCCTCTACTGCCCACGCCAGGGGCCCAGCCCAGCCCAGGCCAACACCCCAGGCAGCCCAGCGCAGGACTAGGGGGTTGGAAATGGCCACAGTGCACCTCTCCTGGACAGGCCTGCATGGAGCCAAGACAAAGCCAGCTCGGGGGCAGGGCAGGACCTACTTGAGCATCTGCCCAGGCCCTGCTGCTGCTGCGACGACCGCCTTCCGTTTGGTAAGCCCCTTTGTCTGTCGGAGCCTGTGTGAGCCTGCTTTTGTGCTGCTGGTGCTACAAGAACCCTGGTGGGTGCCCAGCCTCCGGCCTCAGCCCTTGCGTTCCCCACAGGACACTGGGGATATTTCTGTACCCAGCCACTGTCCCAGGAGTGGCCGTGGTCAAGCCACTAACACCCACCTGGCCATTCCTGCCCAACCCAGGGTGCACTGACGGCTTCTTCCACTGGCTAAGTGGACAGAGCAGCCTGCACTGCCACCCTTTCTGCCCAAGCCTGGTCCTGGCTTCCACACACGGCCCTGGGCCTGAGGACCCTCCTCCAAAGCCACCTGCTCGCCCCAGTTACCCTCCAGACAGAAGCGCACTTCTGCTGTCAGCAGGCCCACACGCTGGGAGTGGCCACCCACCTGCAGCCTGCCCAGCTGAATCCACTCCAGCGGGGGACTCTGGCCCAGGCCAGGACCCCCGCTCTGGCCCTTTGGTCTCCCATTCCCCAGAGCCAGGACTCCCTGCAGGCACCGATCCCATATGTTGGGTGGGAGAAATCAGGAAGGGCCTGGGTTGTTTTAATGTTGCCAGAGAAGAAGGCTTTACAATCCAGGGCCACTGTCAGAGCAAAGGCTCTCTAGGCAGAGGACAGCTCCTGGCCAAGATGTGACAATCTGCGGTGAGGGTGGTGATGCCGAGGGTTCCTGGAACACTCCCTCTATCACCTGCTGCATGTGCAGAAACAGGTGGAGGGGGAGACGGGCAGAGGGGGAGACGGGCAGAGGGGAGACGGGCAGAGGGGAGATGGGCAGGGGGAGACGGGCAGAGGGGAGACGGGCAGAGGGGGAGACGGGCAGAGGGGGAGACGGGCAGAGGGGAGACGGGCAGGGGGGGAGACCACCCTGCCAAGGTGTGCTGCTGCGCACCAAGGAGCTGTGGAGCCTGGAGCAGGCCTCCTGGGCACGTCCCAAGGGCAGTGCGCTGCTCCCGCAGAGGTGACCCTGTTCTTGGCTGTCCTGCCTGTCAGCCGGCAATGGTGCCAGCAGATGGACGCAGGCCACAGAGCAGAGGACCGTGAAGCAGGGGAGGAGGCGACGACCCAAGGGCAGGGCCGGGGCTCGTCACTCTCACACACCAAGCACTGATGGGAGCTGCTCCCACCGCAGAATCGGGGACCACCTGGCCATCTGGGCGGGGCTGGAGGGGGCTGGGCCAGCTCTGGGTCCCTACCCAGCAACCAGCAGGAGAGGCCTCATGGGGCCCTTGCAACAAACCACACTAACGATGACACGATGACCCCTGGCCCACGCACGAGGCACTGGGCGAAGAGCCACCTGTGCTCACAGCGGGCAGACAGGAAGGGGCTGACTCTCAGAAATGGTCTGCTCACCAGGCGCACCACCGCCGGTCATCCCAGCGGCTCGGGAGGCCAAAGCAGGAGGACACAAGTTCAAAGCCAGCCTTAGCAACAGTGAGGCCCTAAGCAACTCAGCGAGACCCTGTCTCTAAATAAACTACAAAATAGGGCTGGGGTGGGGCTCGGTGGTCAACTGCCCCTGAGTTCAATCCCTGGTACTAAAAAAAAAAGTCTGCTCCCTAGGGTGGCGAGAGGCCACTGCAGCCAGACCCTGTGCCCAGCAAGCAGGGACGGTGGCTGTGACCAGGGCCCAGGTGGAAAACAGCTCGTGGAGCCACCAGCACTGGGGCGACTGAGGAACTACAGAGGCCTAGGAAGGTCTGAACCTGGGGAGCTCTGGAAGGCCAGCAGGGAGGCCACCCACAGCACTCAAAGGGCCACACGGGGCTGGTGGCACCCGCCATGCCTCGCTTCAGTGCTGCAAACACAAGAACCTTATGCTAAAATGTAGGACTCTGATTAAGTACCTAGAGCCGTGTCCGTGAGTCCGTCATGTACGTGACTATTCAAGGAAGTTCACTGAGTTAGGTAAGTTTTAATTTATGGGTGGACCTCCTGATGGGCAAACGTCATGTTAGTAGTGTTGACTTTTAAGGCTTAAAAGGTGGATTTCATGAATGAGATCAGCACACTGGGTGTGAGGTAAAATAGAAATGGTCATGCAGATGCCCCTCCATGCAGGACACAGCTCCAAGATCAAAGAAAGTGTCAACAAATCCCTCTTAAAACCCTTCAAGCAAGCGGAAAAGAACAATGCTTCCTGAGGGCAGGACTGCAATCGTCCGAGGTCAGAGCCCACGCGCTGGCTGCCCTAAGCAGCGGGCTGTCTGCCCATGCGGAGGTTGAGCTCAGTGCCCACAAGGAGGACCAGCCCCAAGGACAGGCAGAGGCCAGAGACGCTCACCTCCAGCCCAGCCAGGGCATGGCAGGCTGCAGCTACCGTGTGGACTCACAGCCTGCCTAGGACAGTCCAAGGTGAGGAAGAGGGAAAGTCACCCCAGGGCTCAGCAAGCAGAAGACACCCCCGCTGCAGGGTGCCCAGAGGGCCCCTGATGCACAGCACCACGTCAGCAAGAGGACGGTGGTGGACTCCTCAGGCACTGCCGAGCTGACCGCCGAGCAGAGGCAGCTGAGCACTTTCTAAAATGACTAGAGCTGCAGAAAAGGTGCACACAGGACACGGTCAAGGCCCTCTGTGCCGGCCTCTGTCTCTGTGACCAGAACCCTGACAAGACACTTCAGAGGAGGAGGTCTCCGTTTGGAAGATCTCGGTCCATGGGGCGGGGGGGCGCGCTTGCTCTGGGCCTGCCGTGAGGTAGCCCAGGAGGGGCATGGGACAGGAGGGCACGGGACGGGAGGGGCACGGGACAGGAGGGGCACGGGACAGGAGGACACGGGACGGGAGGACACGGGATAGGACAACACGGGACAGGAGGACACAGGATGGGAGGGGCACGGGACAGGAGGGCACGGGACGGGAGGGGCACGGGACAGAAGGGGCATGGGACAGGAGGACACAGGATGGGAGGGGCACGGGACAGGAGGGGCACGGGACAGGAGGACACGGGACGGGAGGGGCACGGGACAGGAGGGGCACGGGACAGGAGGACACGGGACGGGAGGGGCACGGGACAGGAGGGGCACCAGAGGAGAGCAGCTTGGTTCATGGCAGCTGGGAAGCAGAGAGAAAGGGGAAGGGGCAGGGACAAGAGAGTCCCCGAGGCCACGCCCCCAGGGACCTGCTTCCTCCAACCATGTCCCGCGGCCCACAGTTCCGGCCACCTCCCATCAGTCCAGTCAAGTTCTAACCCCTCCAACGGTTCAACCAGCTGACAGGGCCAGAGCCTTCATGATCCAGTCACTCCCTAAAAGCCCACCTCTGGGCACTGCTCACAGGGGACCCCTTGAGGTCACTCCAGATCCACACCACGAGCTGCAGCCATCAACCCCAGACAGGCAACGGAGGTCTTCAAGTGAATCAGAGGTGGACAGAGGCAGCCTTGGAGCACTGGGCCATGACCCTGGGACACAGCCCAGAGCGCGGCAGCCACGTGGCGAGAAAAGGAGCACCCGGAGGGGAGGTCGCACACAGCGCACGCGCAAGGTCCGGCGACCACTGCAGACCTCCTTCCTTGCCTCCTCCTCCAGTCGTGTCCACTGAGCCGACTCTACAGACAGTTTCTGGGCCCTGAGCACATCCCTCTGCCAGCTGGCCCTGCAGTGTGGTCAGGAGATGGCCATGGAGGGAGCCTGCAGGAGGGGCTGCCAGCCAGGTCTGCAGCGTCACGGAGCACGGTGGCAGCTTCTCCCCAGGGCTCCTGGGTGTGCTCAGTGTCTCCCCGGAGTGGCTCTTCCCAGCACCCAGAGGCTCACCCAGCAGCCTGTGCACTCCATCGGCCCCCGCCAGGCCTGTGGCCATGGGGCGGGCCTCCCTGCTCTCAGGGGATGGTGTCCACTCCTGTGTCCTGGATCCTCTCCACTTCTTGGTGGCCGCCCCTGTTCCCCAGCTACACTGAACACTCCTGCCCACACAGCCACTTGCTGCCTGTCTCCAGAGGGCCTGATGGCGCACTGACCAAATGGTCAGGACTGTGTTCAGATGCCACTGTCGCACTCAGGTGCCATGGTGACACTGTGCCGCTACAGGCACTGGGTGAGCAGCACCCTGCTCCGTGGGCACTGAGTTCAGCACCATGCCACCCCCGTCCACGGGCACAGCCCAGGATGCCCCCCACCCTCCACAGGCTCAGCTCAGCCCTCCAGGGCCTGCCCCGTGCCGGCCTGTCACATGGAGCAGGGGAAAGCCCAGGCCAGCCAGGGGAGCACGTTCAACCTCGGGCGACCAGAACTTCCACACAGCCAGAAACGGTGAGCGCAGAAAAGGACACGTCACTGGCTGTGTGTGAAGAAACGGCCAAGAGCCCACACCTGCGGGCAGGAAGCCCCATCCACGCTAAGTGAAAGACTGGGTCCCAGGACAAGCGGCCCTTCTGACTGAACACCTGGGCCCAGGGCTGGGGGGCGAGCTGTCGCTCCCCCAGGGAAGCCGAGCTCCGAGCCAGCCTGGGCTGGGCCGGCCGCAGCAGGAAGGCCTTGCGTCTGATCCTGGGCCTGGAGACCAACCGCCACCTGTCCACGCCCACCACGCGCAGCCTGCTGGTAGCGCCAAGACCAGCCTGGCTGGCAGCCTCAGAAAACTGCCCCTGGCTTCCCTCCTTCCACAGCTGCCCTCAGGCACGCACGAAAGGGCTCTGCCCTGCGTCCCCTGGAGGAGAGGGCGGGGCGACACAGCTGCATACCTCCTGCCTTCCCTGTCCCACAGACCCAAACCCTGAGGACACCGCGGTCACTCTGAACAGTGGAGGGATCCTCCAAGGCTGAGGAATGGCAGGGCAAGGACAGCAGTGATCAGGAGGCTCGTGGACAAGACAGGCAGTGTCCCCAGATCAGGGAGGCCTGAGGAGGCCTGCTGCATCTTCTGGTGACCTCGGCCTTGCCCCAAACCCTGAAACTGTCATCTGGACAGCCTAGGCCACTGGGAGGACAGGAGAGGCTGGGTCAGAGAGTGAACTGGCAGCTGAGAATGAGAGGGGCAGTGTTTCCTGCACCCCTCCTGGGCCCAGCTGCGCCTGCAGGTAGAACCTTGGCCCTTTCTCCATCACACCGTTAGGGCCACTCCACAGTGGCTCTGGACACAGTTCGGGTACATGGTGTGAGAGCTGTGTTCCCCCAGCCACTGGAGAGGACCTGGGCTCCACTGTGGACAGGGACCAAGGACACTAAACAGAAAGACACAGGACAGACTCTCCACTGCTGATGGACCCCACTCAGAGGGCTGGGGTGAGCACAACCATCTCCTCCTCCCACCTCTGGGAGTGCCCACACCTTACCATGTAGATAAAAACATCGTTCTCGGCACCCAGTCCTCGGCCCCATGCCAACTTGCTGAACAGCTCCTTCCGGAATTCCCACTTTAGCAAGATGGCGCAGCGCAGGAAGGTGAGCTTGGTCTTCTGTAGGCAGAGCAGGTGGGTCACCCCGGGGTACTCTGCCTCTGCCTCACCACATTCCCCCCAAGCAGACCTCAGGGGAGGATTCGGCAAGGATAACACCCAAGGACAAATGCACCTTGCTGGGGTGGGGAGACTGCTGCCAGAGGAGGGGGCAACCACACCAGGGACCTCCACTCCCTGAGCCCTCTGGTGCCCTGCTCTAATTCACATGAAGCTTCAGGAGAGGCCAGTGGTCACCCTGGCTGCCAGGCCTCCTTCTTGAAGCTAGGAAGGACACAGGCTGAGCAACAGGCAGAGAGGGGCATCCAAGGAAGTCAACTTGGGGCACTCTGCCTCAGAGAAAGGGCCTGCACCGTTTGGGGAAGGAGCCTGGGCCAGGCTGTTCAGAGTCCCGAGGTGACGGTCGACAGCTTAACGCTACAGGAGTGGTCTGCAGAGACAGCATGTGACAAATCCAGGGACTGCAGGGCTACCCTGTGGATCCTTGTGGAAACTGGATGTGGGGAACTCCTGGGGAGGGGGCTCTGGGAAAGCAGGTACCCCTGTGCAGGACATGGTCTGCACCCCTGGCCCAGGGAAGGGAGCAGGGGGACCTAAATGCTGGGCTTACTTTTGGTGTGTGGGGGGGAGGGGGCTGCGGTCAGTGGAGCTCCAAAAGCCAGGACCATCTCTGGGATGAGTCCTTTCCTTTTCTCCATCTGCCTGTTCACCTGCAGGGCCAGGTGTGGCCTCTGCCGTCTGAATGGGTCCAGGATGGTGCCCTGTTGTGCTCTGCCTACAGGGCTGAGTCCTCCAGCCCCACCAGCAGATGGGTTCTCCCCACACCTGGCTCTCGCGGCCACCCCAGCCAGGCCAGGGCTGCTCACCATGACCACTTCAGGGCAGGAGTCTGCCAGGTGGAAGAGCAGGGGCACCAGGGCCTGGAAGGCAAAGGTCTTGAGCGCCTGCCGGAACTTCTTGCCCCCACTGTGGATGACATCCCCGAACAGGAAGATGGCGCACCCTCGCACCTCGGCACTTACCTGGGAGACATGGGCAAGTCTTCCACTCAGGCAGCCCCTGCACCCCCGGTGCGGCCCCTCAGCCGCTGACCATCACCCCGCCCCCGCTCTCTGCCCATGATCTCAAGTCGCCCGTGTACGCCTCATTTTGGCTCTACGCTGCTCAGGGCAGACCCACGCCATCCGGGACCCCACCGACCGGTGGACCCTGGGCACCCGAGGGTCGCTCCTATTGCCCTTTCTCTGCCCCCTGCTAGGTCTTCTCTGGGTTCCGTGCTCCCCTTGCCACCCCCGGACCTCCGGCAGCCTTTCATTTACTCTCCTAGATGTCCCTCGTCTGGGTTTCTGACAGCAGCCGCACACACCCCCGCCCAGGCTAGGGCCAGTCCGTCACTTCCTAGCTCCGTGACCCTAGCAAGGCTCCTTCCCCGTGCGACCTGGCGTCGCCTTTGCTGACAGCAGGTGACTACTGTCCTTGTCCCTGCACCTGCACCGAGCGGGCCAGGTCGGCCGTGGTCCTTCCGCGTCGTCCACACCCCCAGCCCTTAGCCAGGGGCGCACGCGCCCCCCAAGACAGAGTCCCCGCGCCCCGCGCCCCGCGCCCGCCCGGCTCACTCCAGGCGCTGCCCGCGCCCGCCTTTCAAACCAACGGTTCTTCTCGTCGGCCCTGGGAGGCGGGAAGCCCGAGGGCAGCGCAGCACCTGGGTCACCTGGGGCGAACGGAACGCGGTCCTCACGCAAACCCCCCTCCCCGGGCGGGCAGTCCGCGGGGCGCACAGTCCGCCAGCCCCGCGCACAGCGGCAGGGGCTTCTCTGATTGGTGGGCCGGAAGAGACTGCGCAGGCGCCCTGCCTGCTCCTTGTCAAGCCCGTCCCACGCATGCCCGTCCCGCCCTTTGCCCCCTCCTCCTTCCTCTCCAGTCTGCTCACGTCCTCGAAGAAGAGCCGCAGGTGCTGGGCGATCTTGAGGATGACGGCGCCGACGCCCTGGTCGCCCAGGCGGTGCAGGATGTCACCCAGAATCTGCATCAGCCCCAGGGGATCGTTGGGCTCGGGCTGCAGGAAGCTGTCCAGCAGCTCCAGTAGCCGGCTCTGGAGCAGGGCCATCTGCAAGGAGACCCACCCAGTGTCTCCAGGTTCCCCAGATGACGCGGGTCGCCTGCTGCCGGCTGCGATCACAGCTCTTACAGGCAGCTGGACTCCTGGCTCTCTGACCAGGGTACCTGCGCATCTCCAAACCCACCCCACCTAGCAGGGCTCTCGGGGACCGAGGAGGACAGAGTGCCTGGCTGAGACCGGCCACAGGCAGTGGCCACGGGCTGCTTCGCCTACACATGGACAGGAGAATGGATAGAGTCAGGCGGTGCATCTGGGCCTCCGACCCAGCCCTGCAGTGGTCCTAGGGGAATGGACCTGTGACCCGAGGCCAAGGGCAGGAGGAGGTGGGTGGAGCACAAGGAGCTGGCAGGTGGCTGGCAGGTGGGGGCCTCCTACCTGGAAGGAGGTCAAAGGTGCTGGTCTCAGAGGCCTTCTGCCTCAGAGTCCCCTGTCCTAAGCAAATACTGCCACCTTCTCCTGCTCCAGACCTGAGCCTCTTTCCCGTCTACCTTTTCCCTCCAGACTCTACCCCGGCAGCCCTCTTCTGGTGCCTCCTTCTCCTTGAAGTCTTCCTAGGATGGAAATGGGTGTGTCCCCAAGCTCCCCCATGTCCCCCTCTCACCTTCTTGGGGTGCATGAGGGTGCTGCTGAGGGCCTGCAGGCTCATGGCCCGCACCAGCGGGTTGGGGTTTTTCAGGTTCAGGTTCATGAAGTTGACCATGGACCTCTGATTCACATGCTGGAAGACATCCGGGCTGTTGAGAAACTGAACAGGGTTGGCGCCATCAATCTACCTGTCACCTGCAACTGCCAGGTAAAGTCAGCGCCACAGCAGGAGACACTGGAGTTAAACATAAGGAAGCACTTTCAGGCAGGAAGCAGATCTGGTGTATCAGACCGAAGTTAGGATGTCTTTTATCAGAGGACAGTGTCTTTTTATCCTTGATGTAAGGAGCAGGTCAGGGTGGCTGGGAGAAGCTGACCTCTGAGATGATGAGGATAGCCACAAGGTTGTCTCGCTCCTCACTGTTCTTCAGAAAGATGATGGCTTGCCCCAGGATGGCCTTGACCTCGCAGTCATAGTGGGACATAGCTCTGTCCAAGGGAAGAGGCAGACATGATCCCTGAGTGCTTCACTCTAGGGCCAGGCCCAGATGGGTGGGGGGGAGGGTTAGGCAACCCCCCACACACACAGACTTTTCCACTGGCTGCCAGCTAACTTTCACCTGCCGCCTCACATCTGCCTGCTGCCTGAAAGTGCTTCCTTTTGTCTAACTCCAGAGTCTCCTGCTGTGCTACTGACTGTACCTGGTAACTGTGGTTGGTGGGTAGATTGATGGTGCCCACGCTACTCAGCCCAGACATCTTCCAGCACAAGTCCAGAGTGCAGGGTCCGGTGTGGGGTGTGGCCTGAGCCTGGGCTGCTGACTTCCAGCTCCTTCCAGGCAGAAGAGGACACCCAGCTTGGGACCTACCTGGCCAAGAGGGTCACTCCCTGGGGGTAGGTCTCCAGGCACTGCAGGCACTCCCAGCCGTGGAGCAGCTTGACGTGGGCAAACACCTCCCAGTAGTTCGTGGTCCAGAAGAGGCCCTTCAGTGCTTCCAGGCAGGTCCTGGAGTGGGGCCCAGGCGGGAGGGTCCCCTGGGGCCTGGGCAGGCTGCCACCTCCTGGACTCCCCGTGGCTCAGGATCGTCACTGCTCTTGGGTGCCCCCTCCCTGCAGAGCCGAGCTCATTCCTTCCTGGGTCCCGAGCGTCCAGCCCCACTCGCGCCCACCAGGGACTCCTGTGGGCGTGAGGCAGGGGCCAGGGGGCCCTGAGAGGCGGCTGGGCCCTGCCGGCGGCTCACCTGCAGGGCCCGAGGGGCTTGTCGTCCAGGATGTCCTCCTGGTAGTCTGACAGGCCCTCCACCATGCCCAGCTCCAGCAGGTAGTGCAGCTGCGTGAGCAGGCCCATGAGCACCCCTGCGAAGGCCCAGCGGACCGTGCCCCTGTACTCCTGGGTGTACAGCAGCTCGTAGATGGTGTTGAGGGCCTGCAGCAGGCGACAGGGGGCCGGTGAGCGGGGGAGGGCAGGCCACTCTGTCTGCAGCCCCAGCCGTCCACCTGCCCCGGCCCAGGGCGTGGAGCAGCTGCCCGTGGCCGCTTCTGGCTGCACCCCCACACCTGCAGCAGCCTGAGGCCGGAGCAGGCGCCCTTCGACTGCCGGGCTTCGCTGGGCCGTGAGGCCCTGCGGCCCTGCCTGGCCTCTGCACCCTGGGCCTCCTCCCTTGCCCCAGCTTGCCTCCACCCTCTAGTGACCTGCCGACTTTGTCCAGGTGCCCTTAGCGTGGCAGTCCTCTCCAGAGCACCCCCTTGGAGAAGGCCACCCCTGGTCCTGCTGGCTTCCTGGCCCTGGCTTGGGCAGCCATCCCCGCACCGCCCCATGTTCCCAGGGCGGGACTGCGAATGGGCCCCTCTGTCCCCTGAAGTTCTCTAGTCAGCCCTGTGGCCATGGAACCCCTGCCCTGCCCTATCCTTGAGGGCAGTGTAGCCCACTGCTCCTGCCCCATCCCGGGTCCTCTCAAGGGCAGACCAACTGGTCACTCCTGAGCCAAACCCTTGTGACTTCCAGTGGCTCTTGCAGGAGAGCTCGGGGCTGGCTGTCACCCCTTACCCACAGCTGGGGGGCACTGGGACCTCCCGCCCTCGCCACACTGTCCTCCCAGGTCTCCCCCGATCCCCCTATCACTGTGGCAGCCAGGCCCTCCCCTGCTGTCCCCTAGGCGCTCCCTGGGGACACTTGCTCTGAGTGCTCAGGACATTCCTGGCAGAATGGACAGGGTGGGGCATCCCCACGGAGAACCAGTGCCAGGCAGCAGCCAGGCCCTGGCAGGGGCAGCTGATCAGTGTGCTGGTGCCCCAGGCACCTGGTGTCACCAAGGGCACAGGGGCAGGGACTCCCTGTGAGAAGGTGGGGCACACGGCCCCGTCACAGATAACGGTGATCTGCCCACTGCTGCAGGCACCAGGGCCACCAGGGCCAGGGCAGGGGCGCTCACCTTCAGGCAGACGAGCTGGGCCTGGCGGGTGGGTTGGATGAACTCTCTGGAGGGCCGTAGCTTCAGCTTCATGTAGAGGATCGTCATGACCTTGCGGGCCAGCTGCTGGTTGGTAGCCAGGGTCCTCCACAGGAACAGGATCTTCCTGGGGAGACAGTGACCCAAGCCACTGCAGGCCACACTGGGCACCTGGGCTGTGCTGCCTAAGGGCCCAGAGGCCCCTGGGGGGCCTTCCCGGAAGGCCCTGATCTGCCTGTCAACGGGACAGCTTGCCGGGTGTCCTGAAATGGACACAGCCAGCCCTCAGGAGTGGTGACAGGTGGGTTCTGAATCTGGGCCCTGGTCGCTGCTGGCTGGGCTCTGAGCACAAGTGAGCTTTGCCTGACACCTGGGCTCGCTCCCCCTGGCACCCCGCCCCCAGCTCCAAGCTGGCAGCCGCCATCCTCAACCTGCCTCACCTCTTAGCAAGCGAGAAGCTGAGGGGGGTGGACAGGATCACAGGACGCGCAGCAGGCTGAGCTGCCTGGGCTGCCTGTCAAAGGCTGGGTCCCCTGGGACAGGCCAAGGTCCCCAGCGCCCTCAGACTGACTGCAAAGTGCTGCACATCCCATGAGGTTTGCACTAGCTTCTGACCCCACAGGGCTGGCAGGTTGGAGGCGGACTTCCTAACAAGTGCCCTGTGGTCCAGTGATGACCGAGGAGGAGCCAGCCAGGGGCTCGGGACCACCAGACCCTGTGTCTTCAGAGCACTGGGTTGGCCTCCAGGGCTCTCTGAGCCTGAAGGACCTTCCAAGCTGAAGGCCCTTCCTGGGACTGCGAGCCCAGGGCATCTGCAGGCCCCGGCCAGGCTGGGCCCTGGGAGCAGGCACCTGGCAGGAGCTGTGCTGGCCATGCTGCTTCAGCCTGAGGCTGGCCTGGGGCCTGGGGCCACTGCGGCTGGAGGGCAGGCAGCGGGTGGCAGCTGGCGTCCACCTGGGGTTTGTGGGCAGAGGGCGGACCCACCTCTCGAAGGGGTGGCTCAGGGACAGGGTCACCTCCACCACCTCCTGGGTGTGCTGGTTTCCCAGAGCTTCGATGGCCTTCATCATGGTCTTGTAGACGTTCTCGAAGCGGATGCCTGGCAGCTCCTGGAGCAGGCTGTGCAGGATCTCGGCCACCTGCAGGGGGGGTCAGTCCACGGCCAGTCCGCAGCGGGGCCCCTGTGAGTCCCTGGGTGGGACCCAGCTCCGCGGCTCATAGCACCGCCTGCCCCTTTGCACACCTGTGCTCCACTCCTTGGTGGCGGCGGGGTGGGAGGACAGGCTGTGGGGGACCAGTGTGGCTGACGCAGGAGGGTGCCCGAGCAGGTGGGGCCTGGCAGCCCCTTGGACAATAGTGTGTGTGAGCCCTGAGTCAAGCTGGCCTCCCCAGACTGAAGGGCAGCTAGAGCTGCAGCCACCTACAGACGGACACCAGGGGACCCATGACCCCCAGGGCAGTGGCAGGGTCCACCTTCTGGGGCACAGGACAGGAGCAGGGCTGCCAGAGGCCACCTCAGGGCCCTGTGCACTGCTGCAGGGAGGGGGTCTGTCGTGGAGAAGAGGTGTGGCCTTGGGCGTGTGCACACACAGCCCTGGGATGGTGGCCTTCTGCCCCCCTCTGGGTCTCTGCAGGGAGGCTCCCTCCCAGCGGAGGATATGGGCCCTGTCCCCCAGAGGGGCCTTGCTGCCCTTCCTACCTGCTCAGGTTTGATGCCAGCGTCCTGGAAGATCATGAGGAGGAGCCTGGAGGCCAGGTCGCAGCGCAGGTGGCTGTGACTGTGGAGGCCGTGCAGCAGCGTGAGGACCAGCTGCGTGTGCTGGGCCACCATCAGGTCCTTGCGAAAGGCCTGTGAGGGAGGGGCTCTGCTCAGCCCCAGCCTGACAGGGAGGAGCCAGGCCCTTTCCGGGAGGAATGAGCACCCTATGAACATCCCCACAAACGTCACACACACAGACCTGCCGCGGGCACAGACCTGCCGCGGGCACAGACCTGCCGCGGGCACAGACCTGCCACGGGCACAGACCTGCCGTGGGCCAGCATGGTGGCCACAGCTCCCAGCTGCCTCTTGGCTGGAGAATTGCCCTGGGGACAACAGGAGCAAGCAGCCTTGCTGGCCCGCTCGGCAGCTGGTGACTGGCTGCCCTGCCCACGTGCAGTCCCTGGACCGCCTGCTGCCAGCGGCCTCCCTTGCCATGTCCCACTCCCTCCTCTGTTCGTGCTGAGAAAATGTCCTCAGTGAATCCTGCACCCAGGTTGCCATGCCCCTGTCCCCTGGAGGGGCTCGGCCAGTGCCCTTCTCAGGGAACCACCCTGCCACCACCACTGCAGCATCCTGTTCTGGGAGCAGAGGGACCCTCACTTGGGAGGTGGGGAAACTGAGGCCCAGAAAGGTGGGATAGCACGCCCAGGGCAGCCCAGCCGCCGGGGCAGAGCTTGGCCCGGTGCCAGGGACAACTGACGGGCAGGGCCTGCGGAGGGTGGGCCGGGCGAGGGAGCAGGAGCACCTGGCTTGCACGGGCTGGAAGGGCAGTGCCAGGCCATGTGTCCCCGCCAGGCAAGCGCGGCTGCCACCCTGGAAAGTTCTGGAGAGAGGCAGACACCAGTGACAACCTGAGGCCTGCTTCCGGTCAGACCAGAAGGTGAGGGCTGAGGCGGGGACTTTCCTTGGAAAGGGCAGTGTCCGGGGCCCTCATCCTGGCCCTGCCCACAGCGCTCCCCTGAGCTGCACAGGTCGCCCGGGATCCCCCGGGCCTGTCGGTACAGGGGGCTGGGGAAGATGTGGCCAGGCCAGCTCCAGCTCTCAGGAAGCCTGGGCCGCGGTGGGGAGCGGCGTGGCGAGGGCTGGCCCCGCGCAGCCTGGGCTCACCTTCACCATGTGGCCAAGCTTCATCTCCCACTCCTTGGAGACCTTGACCTCAAAGTGCTTTGCCTTGTTCCAGGGCATGAATTCCAGCGCCCTCCCTGCGTGAGACTCAGGTTCAGGGGAACCGCTGGCCTGGGGGACAGCACCCCCCTCCCCAGCCCTGTCTCCCAACTCACAGACCAGGCCTGAGTCTGAGAAGCCCAGGGGCCCAGGCGCCAGCGTGGTGGCCGGGAGCCATCCCCTCCCTCTCCTGGCTGCTCACCCTTCTGCTCCACCACCAGACGGAGGAGGAGCGAGACACACTGCTGAGAGTGGCTCCTGGTGACTTTGTCCTTGTCCCGACAGAGCAGAGTCAGCAGGCCAATGTGGTGACCCAGCACGGAGGGCGTGGCCTCCTCCTGTGGAGGGGACCGGTGAGCCACACCGGCCCTCTGTTGTCTATCCTGCACTGCTCCTGGGGACGCCTGCCCCGGACCCACAGGAGCCTGCGCCAGCCTGGGAGTCCCCTGGCCTCCCTGACCCCAGTGTCCCCATCTGGAAAGGGGACTGTTCACTATGTGTGACGGGGACTCAGGGCGGGCCTGCTGCTGCCTCCCCTTGAGCACGCACACACACAGGTGCCTGTTACACGGGGGCCACCACACCCTGTGCCTGTGCCTGCACACACAGTACTGCTTTCTTTCGGGTTCTCTTAAAGATTTTCCTACTTAACGTTGATTTTTAACAATTTTGGTTCTGATGCTCTTGGACCCATGGGTTCATATTTTTCACCAAGTTGGGAAGTTTTCATGTCACCCGGCCGGTCCTCCTGCCTGTGCCCCCCTCCCTGCCCTGGGACTCCGCACCCCTGGGGTTCTGGTCATCCTTCTCTCTCTTTCTTTCCCTCTTGTGTCTCTGGGGTCTCTTGTCCTGTCTTCGGATCCACTGGTGTTTCCCTCTTCTTCTCCAGCATCTGACCCGCTGGTACCACGGACCAGCACCTTTTTATTTCAGAGCCTGGACTTGGTCTGATGTCTGCCTGTGGCCATGTATCCCTAGATGTTCCTTATCCATTCTTTACCATGTGCATGTTGGCCTTCAGCTTTGCCCCGGTACTGGACGCTGAACACAGGCGTGCTGGTTCCACCACGGAGCTGCACCCTGCCTCGGGTGCTCGCTCTTGCTCAGTCCCCCTCAGCTCTACTGGCTGCTGCCAGTCTCCCGCCCCTTGTCCTCAGACCACCCACCGTGATCTGCCCTCCCCTCCCATGCGGACGGTCTGCCCACAGGAATCCTGGGCAGCTCCATGAGGCATGAGGCGGGACGTCCACCTGGTGGTCCTCCCCGCACCTGGGTGTCCCCGAGGGAGGACGGGGACTCACGGTGAACTTGAGGGAGTCCACCACGTACTGAAGGAGCAGGAAGATGGACAGCACCACCCGCTGGCGCTCGTGGCTCCTGTCGGACTTCAGCCAGCGCTCCGTGTGCTGGGGCGGGAGGGCAGGGTGAGTAGCGCTGCCGCGGCCCTCCTCCACCCACCCAGCCCAGCCCGGCCCAGCCGCGGCTTGCTGACAGGGGCCTCCAGGCCATCGGCCTCCGTGGCGCCCCCACCCTGCTCCCTCAGCATGTTCACTTCAAAGGGACCTTTCCTCCTCTCACAGCCAACACCAACCAAGCCATCCTGCAGTGGGCACCAGCAGGCGTTCTCCAGCTCAATTCATTCCAACATCACTTACCTGGAGGTGGCATTGGACCCTACATACTAGGGCTCAGCCCCAAGATGGCCCTACATCAGATGCCTGTTGCCAGCCCCAGGTGTGGCCTGTTGCTTCGACCCAAATGAGCTATGAATCCAATGCACTGGGCCATCTCTCATTACTACAGTGAAATACCTGAGGTAGGTACTTCCATAAAGAAGAAAGGTTCACTTTTGTTCACAGTTCTGGAGGTCCAAGGTCAAGAGGCCACACCTGATGATGGCTTGCTTGCTGGCAGAGTCCTGCGGCAGCACAGAGCGTCACACGGCAAGACACACAGAGCACGTGTGTATCTGTGTCTCTTCTGGTCTCTGTCCCTCTGCTCCTGAAGCTAGTAGGATGCAGCCCTGGGCCCTGCCCTAAGGACATTATCTAGTCCTTGTCGCAGCCGCCCAGCAGCCTCTCGACACCACTGTGGATCCGGGCCCACCTCAGATGGCAGTTAAACCTCCACAGGTAGAGCGTGGGGGCCACTCAGTGCCGAGCCACCCACGGTGCCTCCTTGGGTTCTGCTACCTCTGAGCCACTCTCAGCACTCAGGAGGCACCAGCCCGCTCACCGCTTGTCATCAAGGGCATGACAAAGGAGCAGCCGACACCAGACAGAGAGAGACAAGGGCAAGCGGCACCAGCCCCCGCCCCCGCACAGCCCTGCAGGCCCGGCGCATGCTCCTCGAGGGCGAGCCCCCGAGCCCAGCCTGGGGTCATGGGGCAAGCGCTGGCCGGTGAGACCCCAGGGAGGGGGCAACAGGCGACCTCCAGTCACAGCTGGTTCCCCTGGCAACAGCCTCTAGTGGCCATGGGCACAGCAGCCTGGGGGTCTAGGAGCTGGAGCTGACGACCAGACCTCTCACCACCACAGGCCGCACCAGGCTTCCAGGATGTGCAGAAAGGCCGGGGCCAGCTCGGGAGGTGTCCGGGGGCCTGGTTGGCAGGGCCTGCTGCTGGGTCAGCATGTGGGTGTGGAGCAGGGGGACACCAGGGAGGACCTGTGGTCGCTCTTCCCTCTGTATTCCTGAGCCACTCCAGGGATTGGAGAGGGACTGCCTCTGTCCTGGGGGCCCCGTCCCTTTTCCCTGTCGCTCCTGTCCCTGGAGGCCCAGGTTCCAGGAGGGACCCCAGCTGCGTGCATGTTGTCCCTGTCACCTGACCTCAGACTCTCAAGGACGGGTGCCGGCCACTGGCCCCTAACACACACACCTCCCCCCCACAGGGGCCCTCGCAGGGCTCCGGCAACAGCGCCTGGCAGGGGGGTGCTTCTGGCCTGAACTGAGCAGTCCTGGCCCCGCCAGGGTCCGCAGTGGCTGATGGGCACGGCTGGCACCGTCAACGTCCCACAGCTCAGGCCAGAACTTACTTTCCACCAGATGGAGGGCTGGCACCCACGTGGCTCGCCTCCCTCCGGCCACCCTGCCTGAAGCTCCCGTCTTCTGCCTGACCCCCTGTGGGCCTCGGTCACCTCCAGCCTCCAGCCCCACCCCGCCCTGGGCCCAGACATCACAGAACAGCACGGCACAGCTCTGGACAAGTGTCCTTCAGGGCAGAGAGGAAAGGGCCCGACGGGGGCCCAGCGCCCCATCACCTCCCACCCCCCAGCCCTGCTGCTTCCCGGCCCCACCAGGAAGATACCTGGCCCCACAGCCTCTCTGAGTCTCAGGGCATTCCTGGGGACACACCTGAGCCCATGGGGCTGCCTTCTGGGTTAGGACAGTGCTGGCCCCACACAGAGCCACCTGGGAGGTCAGGGGCAAGGTGGCCCTCCCCGGCCCGCCCCCCTTATCTGTCAAAGGGGTCCGGGGATACCTCTGGGCTGGAGGGACGAATCATTGCAAAGCACAGAGCCCAGGGCCAGCACGCTGCTGCCAACCCTGCGGGGGACTTCAGCAGTGCAGCTGACCGCTGCCCACCTGCCCAGCAAGGAGGAGACGGAGGCTAGCAACCTGGGGACTCTCCCTCAAGTCCCCGCTTCTCACTCCATGACCGCAGTGGGGAAGAAGGCCTCTGGTTCCCGAGACAGTGACTTTGGCAAGCAGGCATCGTGGGGCACTGACCAGGAAGAGACCTCGGGCCCCAGGTGTGGAGAGCGGGGCAGGCTGGCTGGAGCGGGCCGCACCTGCAGGAGGAAGGAGAGCTCGTGCATGCTCGGGTTCTCGAGGAAGAAGTTCTGGAGGAGCAGGTCCAGGGCTCTCACCGTCTTCCCGTACAGCGCCTGGCGGAGACGGGTCAGCGGGTGTGGCAGCAGGCCTCCCTGCCCTGAGCCCCTGCTCCTCCCCTCGGGCTGAGCCCCCCGCCCAGGACAGGGCAGGACAGGGCAGGACGGGGCAGGACGGCCAGGCTGTGGCTGCCGCTGTGTCCAGGAGACGACCGTGTGTGTGGCCTGGCTGGTGCTGCGGTCCCCTGCTGCCCTCTGCCCCTGCTCTCAGGCGCCTTCCTTCCTTTGCCCTGGAGCGCCGGGCTCCCGAGGGGAGGACAGGCGGAGTCCTCCTCCCCTGGACCTGCGCCCTTCTCCTGGGAATACTATTTGGCTGACGGCCCCAGATACGCAGGACTCAGCAGGTCCAGAGTCACCCCAGACCTGCCGCCCGTCGCCCTGGTGCCCACTGGGCCCTGAGAGCTGCCCGGCGACTGTGGAAAGGTTGAGTGAGGGAGTCCGCCATCATGGTGAGTGCGGATGTGACCGGCTGAAGACCCACTGCCGCTCTGCCAGGGCCTCACCCAGGGAGACAGACGGTGCGGACGCAGGCGAGAAGGGCGCCTGCCGACGGGCCTCCCTAGCCAACCTCCTAGCCACGATTCCCTCTCAGGCGGGTGCTTGCTGGTGTGCCCTGGCCTGGGGGAGGCACATCCCACAGAATCACCCAGCACAGACGCGGAAGCGCGAGCACCCGTGGGAATCTCCAGTCCAGAGGACAGGTCTGACGGGTGCGTGCGAGACAGGTGCATCCATGTCAGGAGGAGGAGAGTGGCCAGACAGTGGATAGCACTTCCCTGGAGTCTAGGGGGGCCGGGGCTCCTCACAGCACTGAGGTCCTCCCCTCCCCCGTCCTCCCTCCCATTGGCGCCATGTTAGCTGCAGGCACGGTGTCCAGAGAGCGGCCGGGCAGGGCTGCAGAGGGCACGTGGGGATCACCCTGGGGCCAGGGGACCAGTGCTGGCACGCTGCTGGTCAGGTTGGGCTGAGCAAGCCACCTGCTGGAACTTTTGTCAGTCTCACTGCTGTCCACATCCTGTGCCAACCTCACCTGCACACACCCACACACATGCGTACACACACGCACACACACACGCACACACACATGCACACACACATGCGTACACACACACGCACACACACATGCACACACACATGCGTACACACACCCCCACACACACATGCACACACACACGCACACACACGCACACACACATGCGTACACACACCCCCACACACACACGCACGCACACACACGCACACACACACGCGTACACACCCCCCGCACACACACACACGCACGCACACACATGCACACTCAATCCAGAGGGCAAACCAGGGCCTCCTGGGAACGACACGTTTTCAAAATCAAGAGAAGGACTGAGATGGAAGGCCAGACAGAAGTGTGCGCATAGGCAGGTGGCCGGGGGGAGAGGACGTGACACAGACACAGGCACTGATACAGGTGTGAGGACCAGCAGGACAGAGAGACGCACTGACGATGTGGACCTCAGGTTCATCTGACTCCAACGGTGGAAAGACACCAAGGGGGAACAAGGACAGAGGGACAGGGAACGGCCAGCCAGACGGTCGTGCCGGACAGACACCTGATGGGCCATCGCCACCTGGGGGGCCAACGCCATCGAGCCAGACCTACTCACAGGCTTCCTACAAAAAGCCACGTCAGCCACAGCGGTGCCAAGGCTGACCGCACAGCCAGGGGCAAGGCCCAGCACTGACCTGGGCAGGGACAGCCGGGACAGGCACACAGGTGTAGGGACCTGGCAGCAGGCACTGGGCGCCAGGCCAGCGGTGAAGACAGCCTTTCCCACGACTCCAGCAAGACAGAGGCCTCCGTCTTTATGGCCTAAGAACAGCTTTGAAATCCAGTGGCAACCGGCATAGCGGGTCAGGGACGGGGGGACAGTGCCCTGCGGCCAGGACGTGTGGCCCTGCCCCTCACTGAGGGTGTGTGGACCAAGTCCGCGAGGGACGGCAGAAGACGGTCGCTCACAGGCGCACACAGCTGGGCACGGCGCCTGCCGCCTTGTGGGCCAGTGGATCTGGGCAAAGTGCTCTCCTGACAGAAATGGAGCTTCCTGTGAAGACGATCGGCGCACTTTTAAGTCATCAGCGCACCAAAGAGTAACAGCTGAAATCAGAGAGTCTGGGCATCAAACCGAGTGAAGATGAAGACACAACAGATCCAAATCGGTCCCCGTGGAGGACCTGGGAGAGCGTGGGCAGCGGCGGGCACCCCCCAGCGTTGGGAGCCACGCCTCAGGACAGGCCTGCAGCGCGCACGGTCCCGCACCCCGCTGCCCATCTGCGCTGGGCCCCGACCCTGACCCTGACCCTGACCCTAGCGAGCACAGCAGGCTGAGGATAAAGAGGGAGAACACAATCAGGAAGGAGGGAGTGGGCCACCTTCACGCGAGGAAGCCGCGCGCCCCGGCGGACAGAGGTGGAGCCTCACAGGTCACTTCCTGTGTACCAGCAAGGAGCCGGGGGACCTAAAGCCTCCAGACACCATGGAAAACGTCACCACAGTGGGAGACAGGAAAGAAAGCCCCGGCGGAGGGATGGGCAGGAGAGTGGTGGGAGAGTGCAGAGGGCCTGGCCCCAGGAAGACGCTGGCCCCACAGGCCCCAGAGCCTGTGCCGGCCCAGGCCCGTCCCAGTGTGCGGAGGGCAGCCGATTCCAAACCTCCCTGGAAACGCCGGGCACCCCCGAGAGCAGAAGCAACCGCCAAGAAGGACAGACGGGTCTGCAGAACCCGGCCTCGGGCTCAGGAAGCCCTTAGCGCCCTGTGGGAGCAGACGGCCTGTGCTTACCCACCCCGGAATGTGTGTCTCCGGGAGCCCAGGAGCCAGGCTCCACCGTCACCGCGTCCCCCCAGGAGGAGCAGCAGACGAGCTCTCAGACACCTGTGTGTCCACGAGGGCTCCAACCCCCATCACACTGTCACGCAGGACTGGACACTAGCGTGAACTTCGCGGGTCCTGAGCATGCTGTCCACTGGCCCCGCCATCGAGGAAGTGTGACGATGGCACAGCACAGATCACGGGGCAGAAGGAAGCCATTAGCAATGGAATCCTGGGTCCCTGCAGGTTGGTGTTCAGCAAAGGTGACTGAACCATCCGAGGGAGGGAGCCTTGGGGGGGACCTGGGGAGGTGCCTGTGATGGGATCAGTGCCCTCATGAAAGGGGCTCCAGGCACTCCAGCCCCTCCATCAAGGGAGGACCCAGAAAGCAGCTACCGGGGTCTAGACGAGGGCCTCCCCAGAGCCGCCATCTGCCACCGCATCTTGACTCCCAGCCTCAAGACCTGCAAGAAGCAGATTTCTGTGGCTTGTGAAACACCAGCTACGGTACTTGGTTACAGTTGCCCAGACAGACCTGGACAGGGGCCAGGTGTCAACGCCAAAAGAACAAGACTTCTAGCAGAAAGCAGAGAAGCTGTGAAACGTGGTGTCGGCAGACTCGGGGGCCACAGCGGACGTGGTTGGCACCAGGCCCAAAGTACCGGAGCCTGTGCCCAGCTCTGGTTCAGACGCAGGCTCCGCCTCTGTGGGCAAGTACCTGGGGCAGGAGAGCCAGACCCTTTTCTGAAGAAGCTGCACTATTCCACATCCCACCAGAAAGCGTGACCCATCTGGATTTCCTCAACATCAGCAACTTCCGCTGCCCAGAAGACTCAACTAAGAGAAGAGGAAGCTACAAATTGGGAGAAAATATGTCCAGATCAGATATCAGAGGACAGAGGCTCACATCTAGAAACAAAAGGGCCTCTAAACATAAGAACCACAGAGGTGATTCAGGTGACTTCCAAAGAGAACCTGGAGATGGCTGGGATCGCGCGAGAGGGGAGGGGGCTGAGAACCGAGGCCCGCCCATGCCTCTGGCCAGGACCAGGAGTGCCTGCCCTCACCCTGGGTGGACGTCATCAGTGCTGCCTCTCTGGAAGCAATTTGATGGCTCATTCATCAGGTGACCCTGAACCTCCCCAGTGACCTCACCAGACACTCAACAGAAAGACCCAGCCACATGCTCTTGGCTGACAGCCCCAAACTGGAACAGCCTGGTGCCACCCAGCTGTACCAGGAGTGAACGCCTGACGAGCCAGGACTTGAGCTCTGGAGACCTTCGCAGTGCGTGTAACATATCCAGACAACGTCACCAGGGTCCCATTTATACAGACCTGTGTGGGACAGCATGGGTGGGCAGGGCATGAGGAGAGAGACGGAAGAGGGTCCTACAGGGACATGCCCAGGGTGTAGGGAGGGACCCACAGGCAGCGGGGCATCCCCTCAGGCACGAAGGGGCTTTCTGAGCAGGTGTGTCTTGGACGACAGGCTCATAGTTGCACATGGAAGTGGGCACAGGTGTGTGCTCAACCATGGTGCCTCGTGCAACCTCTACAGCCCTGCCGTGCCACATCCCAGGCCCTGTCTCTGATACCCTCAACGTGCAGCTCTGCCTGCTGAGACGCAGCTGGCTCCAACTAGCCAGACAGGGGTGGTGGGAAAGGGTCCCGACACCAGTCTCCTGCCGTGGGACCTGGGTGCTGCCCACCATGGTCTGTGTCCACACAGAGGTGGGCTTCCCCAGGCCCTAGCCGCCTTCCTCTGCTCTCTGCAGCTTTCCCGGATGACCTGAGGGTCTGCTAGGGGAACCCCTCCTGGAGCTCACAGGGCTACCCAACCTGGCCTGCGGCCGCGGCTCTCAACTATCCTTGCTAACCAGGCTTTCCTGGTCACTAGGTGTGTTACTGGCTTTGCTGTTTCCACTGAACAAAGCCTAGCCAGCCAGGATTTAGTCCGCCACTGACCCTGGCAACCTGGCCCCTGAGGCCACCTCTAAGCTCAACTGCACCTCCCTGCTGTCCTGTGGACAGAAGGGCCTGGCCCAGCCTTGGGTACACCCTGGGATGCTTTGGGTCATCGAATGTGACGTGGCTCTGCTGCATCCTGGGTCCAGTCAGGAGCAATCGAGGTCTGTGCGGGACCATCAGTCTGTCCCTGCCTTAGGGTCCTGGAGAGGAAAGACCTGGGCCTCAGGGGCCAGGATAAGGAGTGCTGCGAGGCTGTGGGTGCTGCCAGCATTGCAGAGGCTGCTGAGTGGGCACCGGGCAGCCACGCCTCGTGGGACACCACAGCACCCTGGCCCCGGGGAGGGCGGGACGCCAAGACCCAGGATTTCCCCAAGGTCAAAGTCAGCCAGGATGGAACCAAGACTGGACCCTAACTCCTTCTCCTGCCCTCACCAAGCAAGGCTGGACAGTTGGGCCAGTACCCGGCACCCACCATGAAGGAAGAAGGGGAATGGCCCAGAAGCACAAGGTCACCATGACATCCAGGGCTGGCTCCGGCAGAGGGGACTTGCTCTTCAGCTCCTCTATTGGGGGCAGCAGGTACACACTTTGCAGGCAGGTCTGCAGAATCCTGGACTTGACCAGGGGCTTGAGGCTGGGCCGCAGGTTGCTGCAAGGAACCAGAGAAGAACAGGCTTTGCAGGACTAGTGGGCTGGGGCCAAAGCCTGGCTGGGAGTGGACCTGGACAGCAACACACCTGGCACAGGGTGGGGAGGCATGGGGGAAACGGAGCTTACTTGGACTGGCAAGGCCCCCGGTGACAGGGACTGCAGCAGGCCATCCTCATTGGCTTCATTCTCTTGGGTTCTTTGGTATTTGTGAGAAACTTAGGGATTGCTCTGGGGTCAGTCAGGGTTGTGAGTGGACCGAGATCAGAACTTGATTTGTGGCCATGTCAGGACTCAAGGGGTGACAAGGCCAGGGCTTGACCAGGGTCAGGGCTCAGCATGTGACTGGGATCAGGGCTCTGTGTGGGGAAAGGATCAGCCCGAACCCACGACCAGAACTTAGCGTGCCACAGGTCAGGGCTCACTGTGTGACCAGGGTCAGGGCTCAGCATGTGCCCGCACAACCACCTCTGGGCTGGGAACAGAGCACCCCGGCCCTGCACATGGACCGTGTCCTGGCCCATCCCTGGGGTCTGCCCCAGCTCGAGTCCTTTGCACAATGACCCTCTCCACTCAGAGGACCTGGCCTGTCTTTGCTCCTGGACCCCAGGGGGAGTCACCTCAGACCCACAATGATGAGTATGATCTTCTGCCGGCAGAGGGTGGCCAGGAAGTCAGGCTCCTTCTGGAGGATGCACTGGGAAGGTAGAGGAGGGACCAGTGTGGCAGTGGCACCCAACCAGCGGCCGGGCCTGCCTGCCCCACCCACCCTGGCGGCCCTGGTGACACCACTCACCAGGAGACACTGGATGAGCTCTGGCGTCTGAGTGAACTTGTAGTTTTGGGCGCCGTACTCCTTCCTGAGCACCCTTGTGAGCAGGATGGATGCGGAGAGGAAGCTCGATTCTAGGATTGCATCCTGAAAGGTGGCCAGGTCAGGGGACAGTGGCACAGAGTCCCCCAAAGCTTGCTGTGCAGCCCAGCAGCCACCCTGACCAGGGGCCCAGCTCGCGTGCATGCACAAACACACCCACACAGGTGCACACGTGTGACACACCTCGACACAGAGCACACACACACTCTCTCGCCAGCCTGCAGGCAGCACACAGCCCAGGACCGTGTGCACCACCCACACACTCACACCACAGCCCCAGGTGCCAGCGGCTCTGGGCAGGGGTGAGATCCACCCTGGGCCAGGAGTGTGAGCGCCCAGCAGGAGCTGCAGGGATCTGAAGGTGCTCCCACTCGCCTGTGGCTCAGGACAGTGCAGGCAGGTGGCCGCCTCCTCCACCAGCCTCAGGCTGGTCGCCATCCCCTGCAGTCACAGCCCTGGGCCCAGGAACATGGGAAGCAGTCCCGGGGTGGGCTTTGCCCGGCCACATCCCTGTGCCTGAGTCTCCTGTCTCCGTGGTGAGTGTGGCCTGGGGCGACGTGGACTGGGGTGCACTGCCCTCCCTGCCCTTCTCTGGAGGGGCTGGGGCAGGGCTCACATAGTAGCTGCAGGAGAAGTAGTACACCATCCTGGAGATGATGTTGTCCACCCAGGGCAGGATCCGCTCCTTGGCATGAATGGCCATCTGTCCGTAGCACAGCAGGTAGGTGCTGCTGACCCACTTCCAGTGTAGGTCGGGGTCCTCTGGCTGCAGGCAGCAGGCACAGCTGGTCCTGGAGGCTCTAGCAGAGGCCCACTGGCTGCCCTCCCAGCCTGCATCTGTCTCCTGCCCCAGGAGAGGGTCGAGTCCTCTGCCCGGCTCCTGGCAGTGGCCAGGTTCTCGGGGCCAGTCCTAGGCCTGGCACCAGCCCTCTCCTTCAGGAAGCCCCTCAAGCTGGCCTGCATTCCCAGGCAGACGTCCCCCTTGGGGGCTCTCAGGGTCTGCATTCCCAGGGAGGACTCTGGGCAGGGAGTGCTGGAGAAAGGACCTCTCAGCACACTCTCCTAGCTCTGGTGGCCAGGCCTCACACAGCCCCTGGGGTCGGGGGAGCCCTTCACTCCAGGTGCTCTGCCCAGCAGGGAAGAGGGCTTTCGCTGGCCTGCGTCCCCCACAGCAGCCCCTCCAGAACCCTCATGTCACCCGTGAGCGCTGGAGGCCAAGGCTCTCCCAGCCCCACACCCCCACACCGGCAGCCTCCGGGGACTCTCTACCTGGCTGTCTGGGGACGGGAGGGCCCACCTCAGGAACCTGGTACGGCCCATGTGCTCCAGCAGGGCCCACACTTCCTCCAGGTGCGTGGTGGATGCTAAGCCCACCGAGAGGGCGATGCCCTGTGGGCAGAGGATCCTGTGAGTGGCCCCAGGTCAGGGCCCTGGTCCTCCCAGCCTTGCAGGCCCAGTCCTCCCAGGAGGACCAGTTAGCACCTGATGCAATGGTCCCCCACTGCGAGAGCCACACAGATCTCCAGGAGCAAGGGCTGAGGGCCAGGAAGTGACAGGGGCCCTATGAGGCAGGGTCTGGAAGAGGGGAAGCCCGTAAGTGCCCACCCACCTCTCGCTGGCTGCAGGACAGGTGGGAGGACTCCAGGAGGCAGGTCAGGTGCCACTTCACCAGCTCCATGTCGGCACACTCGCGAAGGAAGATCCCGTACAGTTGGAAGAGGAAGACCTGGGCAGAGGGACGGGAGCGCTGGCCCATGGGCAGCACCCAGCTGGACGCTCAGTACATGGCCATCAACGGGAGGGGTCAGCTTGCTCCTGCAGCTGTGGGAGCCTCACACGTAATGGCTACTGCAGGTGATGTCCAGACTTTCTATCAGCAGTGCCCTAGCTCAGGCCCTAGCCCAGGCCTGTCCTCTGGGTCCCCAACACACACTGGGTGGAGACCTCAGGTCAGCCCTCACTCCCGTCAGTGCTTCCTGCGTCCTGTCAGCAGTGTGGGGCCTGGGGGTCACCCTGCTGAGGGCCTCTGAATGGCAGAGGGAGGCCCTGAGAAGCTGGCCCAGGCACTGACCTTGTCCTCAGCCTTCTGGGGGTCCATCTTCAGGAACTCCAGCAGCCTCTGAATGTCCATGCCAGAGTCTGACATCCGATGCTTCTCCACCAGCTGTGGGCAGAGCTCAGTGCTCAGTCCCACTCCGCTTCCACCCACCCTGCCAGGGCAGGAAAGTGGCTGAACCCGTCACATGGCCGGAAGCCCTGCCTGCTCCGGGAGCGCTCCCCACCCCCGTGCTGCTTCCATACTGGCCCCTGCACAACCTGCTCCCTCGGACTGGACGCTTTCCCACGCCCAGCTCCCTGAGCCTAGGTTGGCAGCCCTCATACCCAGCCTCCCTCTGTGAGCCATGGCCCTGATGTGGTTCCTGCCTCTGTTGTCCCCAGACCTCAAAGAGTCTCTTCCTGAGTGGCCCAAGGGTGTGGCCAGCAGCCTCCAGAGGCTGGAAACCAAGGTTCTGGCTGGGGCCAGAACAACTTCATCCATTTCAGGAACCTCTGGTGGCCCTCTGGTGGTCCTCTGGGACAGGGGCCTCCCCGAGGAGGAGTAAGTCTGGGTTCTGCTGCCCCCCATCCCTCAATTGCAGGAGGCCTGAGCCGGGGAGCCTTAGTGAGCGTTAGCGGGCAGGTCGGGAGGAGCCCTGAGCAGGCAGGACCCTGGGCCTCAGGTGTCTCTGGGCCTCCACGCTCCTGTGCCCTGACTCCCTCACACCTGGCACCTTCAGGGATGGCAAAAGCCTACGGGAGCCAAGGGACGGCCGAATGCTGGGGATGGCCATGAGATGCGCCCAGAAGCAGGCTTCCTCCCTGGACCAGTGGCTCGGGGGCAGGAGGTGGTGGGTGCAGCAGGCCCACTCTGGTCAGGTGGAGCGACTCTGGCCTACCTGGCCTTGAGCATACAGGTAGATGCTGATGGTGTCCAACACCAGGCTCTGCTCAGTGACCAGCATGGCCCTGGCTTTGCTGACCAGGTGGGCCTCCCAGGATGGGTTGCAGGTCCAGTGCTTCCCTGTGTCTCCTGGGAACCTCGAGTCTGAGTAATCTGCAGAGAAACGGTGCAGTCTGCCCGCAAGTCCCAGAGACCCAGGACCACGACCCTCGCGGAAGCCAAGGGAAACTGGGCTGCAGTGGAGACCCCCTACCAGGCAAGCCTGTCCCCGCGAGGACCCTTCCTGGACCTGTAAACTTGCTTTAAAATAAAGAGAACTGAAAGTGCAGCATGTGCTGGGGGCATGTCACAGAGGCACAGTGACCAGCTCAGAGTAGGGCCAGTGTGCAGCCAAATGACCTGGGCACAGGGCTCCGACACAGCCCAGGGCACAGAGACATGATCCACAACCTGAACTCAAAACTTCAGATCAGCAAGGGAAACACGGTGGGTCAGGGTGCCATGTAATTTCCCATCGTTTGGAACAAGTTGAGCTGGCTCCCTGCCTGTTCCTCACACCAAAACCAACAGCAAAGAGCAGCAGCTTCCCAAGGGCAGAACTGAAGCCGTGGGCTTGTTGTCTATGACCCAGGGTGGCGGAGGCTTCCTGAATGTGGAACCGACAGAGCCACAGGGAGACCACTTCTGCAATGAGCCACATAAACCATCCCCCGCGGCAAAGACGAGCTAAGAAGGTGCTTGCCACACACCTAGGGGGCTAGGGGTACCCCGAAGCCTCATCCAAGGTGCAGCAGAGGATCCCCTCTGCACCCCAAACTAAGGCCAGAGAGCCCTACAGAACAGAGACCCTACGAGAGCCCGACAGAGAGCCCTACAAACACAAGGCAGTGTGAAGAAACCATTCTCACACCCAGAAGGGTGACAAGTCATTAAACCGCAGGTCCCAAAGCACAAATAACAGTGCGCTCAGAACTGCAGGCGCAGGGTTCTTTTCTCTCCTGGGAGCGTGGCAGTGACGGTGTGGACACCATGTGGCCCTGGGGCTCTCAGGAGAATCAGCCCTGCTTCCATTTGAAGAAGGCTGTGAGCCAGCCACGCAACTCGGTCTTTGGGTCAGTGGCCCATGGCCCCCACCTGGTGTGCTGCAAATGAACAGACTCAGTCCCTGCCATTCACCCCCTGGGGACTGAGCATCAGCACTGCCAGGCAGGACACTCACCTGAGCCTCATGGAGCCCCCACACCTTCCAACCCCTGGCCCTGGCCCTGGCCTGGTGCCATCTTGAGGAGGAGCCTGCTCTGGGCGTTTGAGAGTGGTGCCCGCCCTGACCTGTGCAGGTGGCCAGGAGGCTGTGTGGTAGGCTGCAACTCTTGCTCATAGATCCGTGTGGTCATTCATCCCATAAAATCCCTGACTACCCCCTGGTCAGCCCTGGGGCTGCAGTCAGCATAGATGTTTAAGTCTGTAATGGCCTTTGGAAGACCCATGCCACCTCTCCTTTGTCCCCAAAGCCTCAAGGACCCCAAGGATCAGCAGCAAGCTCTCTGTGAAGCTGGCTAGGAGGTGGCCCCCAGCCGGCCCTGCCTGCTCCAGGACCTCGGAGCCCTCTTTGTCCCTGGATGCCGGGAAGGCCGGCCCCCAGCTGCCAGGGGGAGTGAGTTTGGGCAGGTAGGGGCCAGAAGGGGGCCTTCCAGCACACCCCACCTCAGGCCCTTGGGGGTCACTGAAGCTGTCCCAGGCTTGTCTGCCCAGTCCCCTTACCAGGAGGCAGGGTCTGAAGGGACAGCGATGGCCTTGCACAGTGCAATGGGAACAGATGCATCCCTTGTCGAGCCTGGGAGCCTTGGTGCCCATCAGCGTGCCCCTACCCCAGACTCTGCCCGCTGCCCACCTGCTCACCAAGCGCCAGCTCTTGCTCCTCCCTGGGTGACAGGCGCTTGGACAACCAGAGGGGCCGGTGGAAGACATCGTTGGTGGGGGCCAACATGGAGCACAATGCCTCGGGACCTGGCAGGGACAGGAAGGCTACGCATTGCACCCTACCCTGAGCCAGGCCACGTGAGTTCCCCAGGCACTCCCCTGGTCAGGCCCACCCCGGCCTCCTTGCTCCTGACCAGTGCTCCCTCAGTTACCCAAACGCGTCCACAGGCTCCCTCAGCCTCCATGGCAGGGGAGGACCTGGGGGGGAGGGGAGGCGCCCGTGCTGCCCTCCTCAGAGGCCCGGGCCTGGTCTGGTGGGACTCAGCACGCACAGCAGTGCGGGGCGCAGACCCATGTGTGGGAGACGAGGGTGAGCAGGTGACAGCAGGGCCACCAGTGAGAGGAC